CACCAGCCGGATAAACCTGGTGGATTTGGCAGGAAGTGAGCGCTGTACTTCAGCCCAGACCAGTGGAGACCGGCTCAGGGTAATCCAGCATCCAGTAGCTCTGTTTACTCTGTGTCACGATTACCCACAGTGCATTCTGCTGCTTACTGTTTTGTACATTTTAAATGGGGGTGAATTGGATTACAATACTTTACTAAATACTGCAGTGCATCATGAAATCTTAAATCTGACATATTTGTAATGTGAATTTATTTATTTTTCCCAGGAGGGAGCGAGTATCAACAAGTCTCTGCTCACGCTGGGAAAGGTGATCTCATCACTCTCAGAACAGGCTCAGACCAGAAAGAAAGTCTTCACCCCGTACAGAGAGTCAGTGCTCACATGGTGAGAAGCTTTTGCTTATGAATTTGTATTGATTTATTTTGATATTTCACTGCAGTTTTGTTATTTTGTGTTACACAAAACAAAACCGCAGTCACAGCTTCAGCAGTGTAATGCATTTCCATGGCCCAGATGTCATGGAATTTCAGTGAGATTAATTTTATTTTATTTTTCGTACCTAGAAAGGTAATTGAAAAGAAAATGTAACGGTTTTTTCCCCTTTGTCCCAGTGTATTTTAAAAAAAAATTATTTATTTATTTTTAAGTATTTCATCAAGGGAATTTTTTTTATATCTTTGATATAAGAAGAATAATAATGATGTTTATTAATTTCATAAATATAATAATTAAAAATGCAAACATTGTCATTGTCATTTTTATTATTTTATTTTATTTTCTGTACTTAGAAAGGTCATTGAAAACAAAATTTAATGTTTTTTTCCTTTGTCCCAGTTTTTTTCTCTCAAGTATTTCATGAAGGGGAAAAAAACCCCGGATATAATAATGTTTATATTAATGGCATAAATATAATAATTCAACATGTTTTTAATTATCATTGTCATTAATGAACATTTGTCATTTTTATATATTTGACATATTTCTATGCATTTTATCGCACCAGTGTGGCCTTTGTGTACTTGGCAAAATTTGGATTTTTTTTAGAAGTGCAGAAAATTACACAAAAAAAAATTAATAAATAAAAAAAGAAAAGAATAAAAAATCTTTTTTATAATAATAGTAATCATAAAGTATTAGAATCATATTATTTAATGTAGTTACATTATTATATAATGATAATAATACAATTTAATATCACACCAGTGTGGCCTTCGTTTACTCTGCAAAAGTGGAAAATAAATTTGCAGCAAAATTATTTAAAAAAAATTAAATGATAATTTTCTAATGTATAAACTGAAAAAAAGAAAGAAGAACTAAATGTTCTAATAAAAGATCATGAAAATAAATGGGCACTAATGAATTGTGCACAAAAATACCATTTATTTGTAAATTATCTATGTCATAACATGCCAGATTTATTGCTGACAAAAGCAGCAGAAGTGCTTCAGCTCCCTCTTGTGTTCAGGTTACTCAAGGAAAGCCTTGGTGGAAACTCCAAGACGGCCATGATCGCCACCCTGAGCCCTGCGGCCAGTAACATGGATGAGAGCCTGAGCACGTTACGCTACGCCCAGCAGGCCCGTATGATCATTAATATAGCCAAAGTCAACGAGGACACCAATGCCAAACTGATCCGAGGTCAGTAACTGTTACAGCTCTTTATTCTGTCTGTCCATGTTTATGCTTCCTCAGCTGGCATACCTTCAAGAAGGGTGTGTGTTATAAGAAACACTGCACCGCACCTCTCCTCTAGAGGGCAGGATATTCACTAATGGGACGTCCTCAGGGGTCTCAGACTCAATAGGCCCTTTTCATAGTGACGTCAGCTAACTTCCGCTTTCCCGCAAAGCAGTGTATCTGTACTTCCGTTATACCTTTACACCGGAGACTTCTCGGGAAAATGTAGGAAAAACTTGAAATATGAAGAGTTATTTAAGAGTTAAGACTAATAATGTTAATGTACTTACAGTCGGGTTCTTTTGCGAACGTTTTTCTTCATCTGCTTTAGATGGGTGGCTTGCTTGCCACAAACTGCTTGCTTTCAGATTTGTATGACAACGATTATGCGTTCACACGAAATACATACTTAAAACCTTTTCACTTGTTATTTCGGTTTATGTCATTCCTTGGATAATTTGTGAGTACACTGTGTAAATTAAATTCCCCTTGTAGTTGGGCAATAAAAAGACAAACAACATGATGTTTTTATTTACTATGGGGAAATGACATGGACACAAATCATATTTTTTATATTAAATCGTTTTACTACATGGCAAGTTTCACATCCATAAAGGCAAGTGGTCTGAAAAGAAACTCCTTATCCAGTTCAAGAATAAAATGGCTTAATATTGAAACAATACAAAAAGGACAGCCTTTTTGGACAGAAATTTGGACTTCTACAATTACTTAAATTCCTCTATTCAATTTCGCTTTACATGTATACCGTGTTTTTACTTTTTGAATTATTATTGATTAATATGATCGAACGTATTTTTCATTCTAGGCTATATGCAATGTGATCTTTAAAAAACAGCTATGACCTGTGTTTTATAATTATTTACAAAAATGCTGGCATCTGTTTTTAACTGTAAAAGCTTTTTATGTAAACCTAATATTTCTGAATTACATTAAATAATAAAACTGAAAAGATTTATTGATTTTTAAATACAACATCTGTATGTACAAGAATAGTTCAACATTAGCTTGTACTAAGCAGGACATAAATTACTGAATGAAAAGGCTTTGTTACCACATGTACAGTGGTGTGAAAAAGTTTTGGCCCCCTTCCTGATTTCTTGTTTTTTTTGCATGCTTGTCACACATTAATGTTTCAGATCATCAAACAAATTTAAATATTAGTAAAAGATAAA